GGCCTTTCTAGCTTTAGAAAACCCTTTTGTTTTGGTTTTAGAAGATGGTATATTATCTTTCAGGATGTATATCAAGGCCACCTATTTTATTTTACTTCAGTACAGCAAGAATGAGTTGGTTTAAAATTGTGTCTTGGGCTCTGAAATGCCTTTTTGATTGGCCTTTACTTTTTAAAAAAAGACATTATTTTTCAAACTTTAGTTTATCTAAACTCTAACTGAAGTCATGTCCTTTACAGCTTAATGGACTCGTAATACATGATTACACAGCTTCAGAACCCATTTTGTTAAATGAAGTGGTGACATTTTATGCACTATTAAGCCAACTAGAATAATTTTCTTGCTGTTAGCCATAACTTCTCTGTGTCCTTATTGAAAAAAATTCTGGGGTGTGTTGTAGAAGGTTTTGACAGGAGAGAGTGTTTCAAAAGATATGTGGAAACAGGGCCTTTTTCCCATTATTCCATCAAGAAAAATAAGACAAAACTGGTGAAAGGGGAAAGTGGTTGAAATGCCCCAGTTTGTGTTATAATGCATCAAATTATATTTATTTTGTAATCGTTTGATTGAAAAAGTGAATTTTAAAATTACTGCCTTATTCCATTTTTAATGCCTTACCAGTTATGAATATGTGTATGTATAAAGTAAAGCATTAAGAATTATACTTTCAGCATTTCATATTTTTGCCATGTTATATATTTTAAGCAGCTCAGGATGGTATCCTTCTGTTTTCAGCACAATATGAACAGTTTTATTTCTGTTACTCTTTGTGCAATAAACTGCTTAAAATACTAGCAAAATAGTTTGCTGGGTCCTATGGGGATAATCATAACATAAAAGTACCCTGAATCATATAATATACTGTCTTGGATTTCTTGTATGTTGACAATTTTCCTCCATTTCTTACTATGCAAATCTACTTGAAATTGTGTACCTTTTCCCCTTTTGAAATGAGTTTTTTTCTCATTATATTTGAATTATAGAAAATACAAACAAGCAAAAAGAACAATATAAAAAATTATCAATGATTCTACCCACTCATAGCTATTGTTTTTAACACCTTGGGGCTGTTGTTTTCCAGGTCCATTTGTATGGACATGTAAAACTCATCCACATAATCACATTTTCTCCTACAAAAATAAGTTTTTTATTCTGCTTTTTTTCATTTAATATGTTGTGTGTTACTACATAATTTGTGAATGGTATTCATTTTGTTGTATGCATTCATTCTCATTTGTTTATATTATTCTCCAATGTTGATGATTTATGCTGTTTCCAATTTTGTTTCTATTAAAACAGCATGGATATGAACATTGGTATACCTAAATTTTCATTACTTTATTCAGTATTGATTGAGTACCTACTGTATGAGAGCCACTGCATTTGGTATTGGGTTATAACTGTGATGTTAAGAAACAGTTACTACTCAAATGAAATTTAAATTCTAGCAAGAGAGGAGCTATCATCCAAATGTCAATCAAATAATTATGCTGACATATATGTCAATTATAACTAAAATGGATCCTAAAAGAAAGGAATCCTGATCTATGAGAGAAAACAGAAGGATCCTGCCTGGGGTTAGAGATGACTCATTGAAGAAGTACTGCTTAAGCTGGTGGGTAACTAGTTGAAAGAGGGTAGGGAGGCAGAAAAGGAGGTATTAGAATGAGAGATTATTCTGGATAGAGAAAACACTGTTGTACAAAGGCCTTATGTCAGGAGAGATTATGGCATGTTTAAAGAACTGAAAGGAAGCCCGTGGAGCCTGAATGAATAAAGCATTGGTGTAAGACATGACTGGAGTGGTAGTCAGAAGTCAGCCAAACAGAGCCTTATAAGCCATGTTACAGACTTTGGTCTTTTTTCCAAGAATGTTAGCATGTTGCTTAAGGATTTTAAGTCAAGTGGCTTACTAGACAGGGAATAGACTGGATGCAGGCAAATCAATTAGGAGGTTGTTGCAGTGGTTCAGGGGAGAATTAATGATAGCATGGATTATGTTGGTGACTGGAAATAGAAATAGACAGATTGAAAAGATTTTTAAGAGGTAAAATAGATTCAACTTGGAACATATTCTTAAGATTTTTTAAGCATAAGTTCCCCAAAGTAGAATTTTTAAAACAAAGGGAAGAATTATTTTAAAAGCTTTCAGTAGATATCAAGTTGCTTTCCATAAAGATTATTTTAGAGTACCACTCACTAATAGTATATTTGAGTACTCATTTCCATATACCCTTACCATGAAAGAGCATTATCTTTTTTTCCTTTTCATAACTTTTCCAGAAATTGAGTTAATATTTCAATTTTTTGAATGGGGATTGTTTTACCAGCTATAAAAATAAGTTTTGGAGTATATATATTTTGATCTCCTTATTTTGGTTTTAGAAAGTGTGGGTTTAATTCTTAATATTCTGTCTCTAACGCTGAAACCAAAACCAAATGATTTAATGGCAGTGTTGCCTTAGGAACATGTGAAAAAGAAAAACATCAACAAACTTGAGTCAGATTAAATGTGACTGGAAAATGACATTTTTATTGATATTTTTAATAACCCCACCTCTGTTCAATATAATTAATACCAACATACTTACTTTTCTAAATGCAGTATTGTAACTCTGTTCTACCATGAGTTTGGACTTAGGACTCCAAAATTGGCTACAGAGATAGAAATATGGAAATATTTTAAAACATTTTTATTAGCATGCATTATTTGTATGGGAGAGGGTGTTCCATTGTGGTATTTCCATATATGCTTACAGTGTACCTTGGTTAAGTTCATTCCCACCATCATTCTCCCTCATTCCCCTCCCCCCCTGCTTAAAACAATTTTAATAGGTTTCTTTATTCTGTTTTCATACAAGTATTTAAATTACCTCGACCATATTCACCCTTCTACACCCTCTTTGTTTGCCTTTCCCCTCTCACTAATACCTTCTCCCTAATAGGACCTGATTTACATTCCTGTACTTCATTTTTAAGTATATATTCATTGTTCAAAGGGGTTTTGCTGTGGTATTTCACATATGAATATAGTGTACTTTAATTAGATTAGACTGTCTTTCCCTGTCTCCCCACCCCCTATTATTCAGCAGCTTTCAGTGTGTTTCATTCTGCCATTTTCATACACATACGCAGCATTTCGATGTTATTCGCTCTCCTTCTCTTTTCCTCTCTTGCCTTTCACTAGTCCCCTCAAATAGTCCCAATATTACAAAGATGTTGTAATGTATGTATATGTGTATGTATCTATGATCATGTGTGTATTTATACATTTATCTTTTTAGGTCTAGCTTCCATATATGAGAAAAACATACGACCTTTTTTTAAGGTTTATATAATGTCTTACAGCTTAATAGATTAAAAAATGTATAGTATATGTCCCCTTGCCACTATTGAATAACTTTTTTAGCAGTATGAGGGTGACTATGTAAAAGTCAAATTTAAAAGAAAGGAAATTTAAATTTAAAAGCAGTTGAAATATTTTTTCTTCAAAATAGCTTGAGTTTAAAAATAATTGACCTTTTGATATGGAGTAAAAGTTATATTTGCAATATTTTTAGGTATTTCTCAAATATTTATGTAATTCTGCATTATTAAAGTATGGTCATATTTGAAATGGCATGTTATTTGTTTTCTCTCAACAGTTAAAAGATGTTGATACTCGGAAAATCATAACAGCAATGCTTTCTTATGTGTGGCCCAAAGACAGGCCAGATCTACGAGCTAGAGTTGCCATTTCCTTGGGATTTTTGGGTGGTGCAAAGGTAAGAAAGGGAGAAATTATGCATCGTTTTGTTGCTATAACTAAGAAATACTATGACATTTTCTAGTCATGAACCCTAAGCTAGTATAAACCACTTTGGGAGAGAACATGGCCAAATTTTAGGAGCTTCATTTAGTTCATATAATTATGCAGTGAGCAGAAATTATATGGTAATCTCCAATTTATCTTTGAATCAGAGGTCTAATAGCCTCAGTTTAATGGAATTCACTCCTAAAACCAGTGTGTATGATACAAGAGCATTACAGAAGTTTATTTAAAAGATTCCCCAGAGTCTTGCTGGCTCCTGTTTCACATATTTCTGTTAAGTGTGGCTCCTAGTTCCCTGTAAATTGAAAAGAAGAAGGCATTTTAGGCACAATGATAGCCATAAATGGCAAATAACAGTTTTTAACATCAAGAGAAAAACTGAAAAAACAGCCATAAAAGCTTTATTTTAAAATACTTTAAAATAAAAATAATTAAAATTAGATCTTGGGATGTAGCTCAGTGATAGAAAGCACTTGCCTAGCATGTGCAAGATTCTGTGTTCCATCCCCAGCATAGCAAGAAAAATAAATAAACAAAACAAATTAAATTCTCCAAAATATGGTTAAAGTGCTTGCTTAAAAGTATAAATGAAGGGAAGGACATAAGGAAAGGGTGAAGGAGAGTGCATATGGTGGAAATTAGGTACTCATATATGAAAATGCAAAAAAGACCTGTTGAAATTATAAGAAGAAGGAAGAGGGAATAAAGGAGAACACAACAATAATCTAATAAAAATTTTAAAGTATAGATGAAATTTGGCTATAATTTGGTTATTTCTCTTAACATATAAGGATTAATATTTTATTTTTGAACCCAGATCTCACCACTTTTTATTTACTGTATCATGTATGTTTCCTTTTATCTACTCATTCTCTTCCCTACCCTAAAATATATTGAGAACTTATACAAAGTACTATTCTTGGCACCAAAACGTATTCAAATATGAGTAAAGCAAATTTCTTCTTTCAAGTTCTATAGGGTAACACAAGTTTTATTTTATTGCCATAATAACAGGTAGGCCATGAGTGATTTAAAGAAGTACCAGCTGAGTGTGAAGGTGTTTCAGAGACAAAGTAGGAGGAACTGCCATGATAGGGAGTCAGGAATGATTTCTCAGAGGAAATGACATCTTTGACAGGTTGGATTATTGTAGGTATGGGAATAATTTGAATAGTTGTCTAGAAAAAGCATATAGTATGTGAGGAGAAGTGAACAATCCATCTTGGCTCCAGTGAGAGTAAAATGTTTCAAGAGGAATTATAAGTAAGTTTAGAAAGATAGAATTCCTGATGTGAAATAACTGTAAAACAAAAAAATTATATGGAAAAATAAGTAGAAGACTGATAAGGTTAAAGATGTGCTTTTAGGAAATTAATCTGATCCTGTTGGTAGAAGATAGATTAAAATTATGAGAGACCAAAAGTAGGAATGCCATGCATTTCATGCATTTGTTCAGCAAATAGTTACCAACTAGTTGTGAGGCCAATACAATAGCCTGGGTAAGGAGAAATAGCTATTTGCTCCTGAGTGATGATAGAAATAGTAATATGGGAGGAAAAAGATGTCAGAGATATTGTGAGATAGAATCAGCAAGATGTTAGAACAGATTAGTTATTGGAAGTATAAAAAGGAATAGGATTCAAAGATGATGCTAGGAATTAAAGAATGATAATGCCTTTAAAAGAAGTAGGGAGCCAGGCACCTGTGGCTCATCCCTTTGGAGTGTTGAGATCTGGAGTATCACAGTTTGGCTCGGGTAAATAGTTTGCAAGACCCCATTTCTAAAACTAACCAGAGCAAAATGGATTGGAGGTGTGCTCAAGCAGTAGAGTGCCTGTTTTGCAAACCAGAAACTATGAGTTCAAACCCCAGTCCCACGAGGAAAAAAAAGAAGTAGGTAGTGACTCAGGAAATCTTGTTTGGGAAATGAAGATCTTGGTTTTGGGAATGTTAAGTTTAAGACGCTAGCAGAACATCTAGATGGAGTAAGTCAACTGCTAATATAAAATTCAGGACAAGCTCAGGAAAGAGCCCCAAGTTAGAGAGATTAAGAGGTGATAGTTGAAACAATGCAAATTAGTGAGTTCACCAAGGCAAACAACAGAAACAGAAGATAACTAGGGACACAACCTCTGTTCTGTAGGGAAGTAAACTGAAGAATAAACTGGAAAGCACAGTGAAACCCCACTGTAAAATTAATATAAATTAATTTTATTAATGGTAATTTAAAAAAAGAAGCTGGGAAGGAGTATTTGAAGAGGTAAGAGTAAAACCAAAATAATTCAGTTTGACTCTCCATTTTCATGTCTTCTTTCTCACCTGTGGGCTCTGTTGAGTACTCTTGCAATGAATCTGACCCATTGGAAAAGAGTACTTCCTTAAATCAAGATTCTTAGCAACAGATCAAAAATACATACTTTATTCTGTTTGTTTAAGTTGAACAGACAGAACAGTGTTACAAATCCAATTTTGGTAGTTAATACTGAAAATTGTAACTTTTGTGTTCATTTTTAACACAGTACTGGTTGCTGGATTGTCTTTTATAAGGATAAAGATAGTTCTGAGCTCTTATGCAAGGTAAATTAGCAAATTAGCTTTTATTAATTGTAAGTACCTGACTGACAAGTTAAAGGCAGATGGTTTTCTGGACTTGTTTGTGAATTGAAGATGACAGGTCCGAACCTGACTAATTCAACTAGCAGAAGGGAGGGGTCTTAAGTAATGATATTTATATTAGGATTTATTTTTAAACTGAGTTCCAATCCTTCATAGTTACAAATTTCTGTTGCTTGGTGACAGGTCAGTATCAGGCCATGAAATCTATGTCTAAGCTAACTTCCTTAAAGACTAAAATACTTTTAGAAGGCTAATATTTGGTTCTTTAGTCAAAAAGTACTGAGTACCCATACAATGGAAAGTGCTATACTAAACTCTTGTAATTACCAGTAAAGAAAAATGAATATAGAAAATCCTTTAAAAGTATGTTTGATTCCTTTTGACTCAAGAAAATGAAGAAATTGACATGTGTTGGATGCCTGCTAGAATTTTCAAAGCATAAAAAATAATTTAATTTTACTAGACAGAAAATGGACCATGGAATAACTTGAGATATGTAGAACATAGTAGTAACATTAACCATTCCAAGCACCATTTTCTAGCTTCTGGAAGGTCATCAGTGGTCAAGTTGATTATTGTTTGTTTTTGGCAGTATTATTGTTTTGTGATTGATGTGCAAAGATGGATTGTTGTCCTCTTCGTACCTTGGTTCCTTGTTTTCTCTTCAAACCTGACTGCATGCTTTGGCATATAAATACTTTGGACTAATCTAGGTCCCCTTATACTCTGGTATTCTTACCTTTACCACATATTCTGGGATTTTTGGTGCATGGTTTTGGGACCTCTCAGCTTTAATGCCTTCCAGCTGTCTGTGGCAGTGGTGGTGTTAGTTACTACGAGGCCTGAAGCATAGGTGAGAGAAAAAGAAGACAGGAATTTCAATGGTGAATAAGAAAAAGGGAAGAGGATCTCACCCTTAATGTATGGGATCACAGTATAACTTGTACTTGCTTATTTACCTTTTTTTTTATACATTTGAAAGAAACTTTTTTTATTCATTTATTCACGTGTGAATACATTGTTTGGGTCATTTCTGCACCCTGTCCCCCCTCCCACCCTTCCCCCTTTCCTCCCTCAGTTCCAGGCGCTTATTTACCTTTGAATGCTCTTTTCATTCTGAGGGTCTACAGGCTATCATCATTTCTAGGAAGTAAACTGTATCATATAGAGAAGCTTTTGGTCCTAGAGTAGACAAAGAAGGGGTTGGTATTCCTTCTGAAGAGTTGTAGCAATTCCTTTTCTAATATGTTGAGGTTCTATATGACATACATCTTAAAAATTCTGCGAAGTAAGATACAGCATTATTTGTCTTCATTCCTTCAATGTCTACAAATAATATGCATTGTCTTTTCTTACAGTCTATGTACATATCATAGAAGTATTACATCATCATTAATCTGGTGATTTTGAAATTTTTAAGGTCTTTAAAAAATTCTACATTTCTAGTATTTTATGTATAACCATGTCAGAATTTAAGGAAAATATAGACTGGAGGAATGGCTCAAGTGGTAGAGTGCCTGCTTAGTAAGCATGAGGCCCTGAGTTTAAACCCCAAAACTGCCAAAAAAAAAAAAAAAGGAAAGAAATTAAGAAATTAAGTGAATAGATTTACTGAAGTCATTGGATTTTTACAAAATAGGTGTTACCTTTACTATTTCCTCAAGAAATTTATTCATATTCTCTAACCAACACCATCTTGAAAACCACTTGGTTGACAAAGAAATTGGGGGCAAAGAAAATTAGAGTATCAAGTTCTAAAAGGTACTTTTGATAATTCATTAGAAATCAAAATCAGCTATTTTTAAAATTATAAAATAACTTCAGGAGATAGTGGGACTTATTAAAATAAAATCAATACCCATTTTCTCTAGGAATACAACTATTACTAAGTAAGAAGTAATATATGACCTAAGCAAACATTTATTGTTTGAATAGCTACTGG